TGACATTGAGACTTGGTGACATTTGGGCATTGCCCAGTTCAGTGACATTGCGACTTGACATTGTGTGAGCAGCAACATTGGGGATACATTGGAGACTGGGTCCATCGGGCTATGGTGACTGATCCTACCTATCTCCCTCGTCCCCCTACGTCTCCTCTCCCTCTTTCTGAGCGATGATGTATGCTGTCATCTCCTGTCATTGACCATGCTGAGTCAGATCTTGGTATTACAGTCTTCCTCTGTGCTATTTTTATATTGTCTCTGAGAGGTCGGTTCTCGGTTCTGATCGATGCCGAGTAGACATGCGACAAGGAGGAGGAGGAGGAGGAGGGGGAGGGGGAGGGGGAGGAGGAGGAGAAGAAGAAGAAGAAGAAGAAGAAGAAGAAGAAGAAGAAGAAGAAGAAGAAGAAGAAGAAGAAGAAGAAGAAGGAGGGGGAGGAAGGAGGAGGAGGGGGAGGGGGTTGTCTTCCACCGGTCTGCAACATCAAACCCGAACCTGGTCACCTATTGCCAGTGTGGGTCAGACTCGTTTCTTCTCTTCTCTTGGGCTCTCAGATCCTCGCCAATGATCTGGCAGCCCCTTTGTTTGCATCCCATCTCATCCTCATTGGGGCGGCATTGCAGGTGCAGGAGGTATAGGCAGGTCAGGTCTTCCCTCTCCCTTTCTTGGCCCACCTCAGCAGGAGGCTAAGCAGCAGGTGCGAGGTTGAGAAGGAGGAAGGAGGAAGGAGGAGGGAAGTAACATAGAAGACATACCTTTGGCTATAGTGGACCTTCATGTGTCCACTTGGCTGGCGCTGCATCTACAAGTTCCCTGTTGAGGTACCGGTCGATCTTAGCACTTCATTCGCAATTGTGGCTATGGTGGCATGAACTGGAAGAGGGACATTAACAGTGGTTCCATTGTCCTTTGAACATCCGTTATACTCAGGGATGTCCTGCGATAGCTAGATTGACAACCAAGGAGACAAGAGTGAAGAGTGAGGCTGAAAGGGGAGCTCTTTAAGTGCTAAGAGTAAGCCTTAGGGGGATTACTTGGACGTGATTCTTCTTCATTCGCCGATTTATTATTGTATTAAATTTAAACAATCACTCCTCCAACCTCTGCACTGTTCATTTTTCTGGTCTACAGTACCGGGCCAAAATCTACAGTGCCCAGGCCCCGTGAAGGCTCGGTGGGGAAGTGTACCAGAATTACTTTTCCTCACAGCGGCACTCTAGACTCTACGCTCTGTGAAATGCTACTTTTGGTTCCTCAAAATATGTCTCGATGGAGTGATGGTTTAATTCATTATATTGGAAGAGGAGAAGGAAGAGCTGGAGGAGGAGGAGGTTGAAGAAGCTGGAGTTGGGAGAGAAGAGAGGGAGATGACATTGGTTCAAACTTGCGTACTTCTTCTCCTCCTCCTCCTCCTCCTCCTCCTCCTCCTTCTTCTTCTTCTTCTTCTTCTTCTTCTTCTTCTTCTTCTTCTTCTTCTTCTTCTTCTTCTTCTTTCCATGTGACTCCATGTGTGTCTTGTGCGTCTGCAGGAAGAGATGCCACATACATTTCAACTGACAACCTTTTTAAATTCCCTCTTCAGGCGGAAGAGGCAGGTATAGAGAGTCGTGATTAAGCCTCTTGAAGTATCATGAAATTGAGAGTCTCAACCCTGATGGGCAGCATCGTTTTTACCATCGTTTCCTCCTCCTCCTCCTCCTCCTCCTCCTCCTCCTCCTCCTCCTTCTTCTTCTTCTTCTTCTTCTTCTTCTTCTTCTTCTTCTTCTTCTTCTTCTTCTTCTTCTTCAGAATCTTCTTGTTGCTTCTTCTTCTTCTTCTTCTTGCTTCTTCTTCTTGCTTCTTCTTCTTCCTCTGTTTGGCTAAGTTTGCCAAGATTGCGGGTGATGACTGGCAATCCTTGATTGCACCAGTCTACCCCCGCCTGTGTAACGTTCATCCTGTATGTCGCTGATAACAGTAGTTACTCGTCAGTTACTCGGAGGAGAACTACTGCGGTTAGGAAAAACATTTGCATGAATCTTAACTGTGGATCGGGACGTGGAGTCTTGGACCTTAGCAAGGGACATCCGACCTTCACGGACTGTGTGGTTTCTGTTTTTGGGTCGCCATTATCCGCGAGGCTCTCTTGAGCCTCGTTGGGTGCAGTTTTAATCCACAATTAAGAAATTATAAGAATCTGTCGTTTTTTTTTTTTTTCAAGTTTTTTTAACAAAACTTTTTTGGTCCGATTTTGCATAATTATTAGTTAGTATTTTTGGCAATCTTTCAATGTGCTACCCAATACGGGCACACGAACCCTGGCAATCAAGGATTGCCAGTCATCACCCGAAATTTCCAGGGATTTCCCTGGAAATTTAGCGTACGGATATTAGTCGACCTAATGCTGGATTCCAGTAGAATCAAGGGAAGGGCAATTTTTTTGCATAGCGAACTAGCGTCTCGGTACGTGATCAAGCCTTATATATAAGGTGTAGATGGCCATCCTCCACCGCGGAAGTGAATGATTCTTCACTGCTCTCTTTCAAAACCTCCTGACAATGCCTGTGATGCGACAGGCTGAAACATGTTGAGGACATGCATCTATGCTTCCTTCTCGGTTTGGAATGGACGACTGGTCGTTTGTGTTTTTATCCCTTGCGCATGGTTGATCTCCTAGTACCAGCTTCAGTGTGGCCACTGATTCTCCTGTCCTATCCTATCCTATCCTATCCTATCCTATTCTTCTTCTTTTTCTTCTTCTTCTTCTTCTTCTTCTTCTTCTTCTTCTTCTTCTTCTTCTTCTTCTTCTTCTTCTTCTTCTCCCTCATCTTCTCCTCTTCCTTCTCCCTTTTCTTCTCCTCCTTCTCCCTCCTCTTCTCCTCCTTCTTCTCCCTCTTCTTCTTCTTCTTCTTCTTCTTCTTCTTCTTCTTCTTCTTCTTTTCTTCTTCTTCTTCTTCTTCTCTTCTTCTTCTTCTTCTTCTCTTCTTCTTCTTCTTCTTCTTCTTCTTCTTCTTCTTCTTCGTGCTGCTGCTGATGCTGCTGCTGCTTTCTCTTCCTGTCCTCTTCTGTTTCTTCTTCTTCTTCTTCTTCTTCTTCTTCTTCTTCTTCTTCTTCTTCTTCTTCTTCTTCTTCTTCTTCTTCTATCCCTCTCCATTCTCTTCCACTTTTGTTTCTTTCCACTTCTTTTGACTTCAGCAAGTGTTGCGTTTTCACAAAGTTGTGAATTGTCATTTTTGACTCATTTGAGCAGGATCATAGCATGCGCTAAAAGTAGTAGAAATAGTTGACATTAAATTGAAATACCAAAAAAATAGTATTACAGTTACTGCACTTGAAGTCTTTGTCAAAAGATTATTCACTGCACTTATCTTTTTTTTTCCACTTATCTTTTCCCCTTCTTCTTCTTCTTCTTTTTTGGGGGGGTGACTTCGTTTTCTTTTTGGGTGATCTATATCGATGATTGATCAGGCCTTTGCAGGAATTCCATGCCAGCCACAATGCCATCAAATTCGTGCCCCCGGCGTTCTGGCATCTCCCGGCTCTGCAGAGAGTGGGGCTCGACTGCAACCAGATACAAGTTCTGGAGTTCACGGTTCCTGATGTGACCAACAAAGGGATGGCATCCTTGATAGCGAAACATCTGGAATCGATCTTAAGCAAATCCCCTTGGTCGTCCTCGTCGGCCAAATCACAGAAGACACAGCACAACGATCAGCAGCAGCACGAAATCTCGCACCCTGCGGTCCAGCCTTCTCCATTACCTCACATCAGATTTGGCGAGGTGGGCGCAATTGACAAGCCCGGCAGCGGCGATGCATCGAATATGTCATCGGAAGCGCTATGGACTCGCACTAGCGGCAGCACCAGGATCGGAATGCAGGAGCGGAGTCGTTCCCAGGAACGAATCGTGGGAGTCGGATCAGCAGGGTTGACACCGGGGTCGGAATGGCATCCGTTCGCTGCGGTTTCCACACCTCAGTCCGATTCCCCGAAGGCTGATCGGGAGGGGGAAAACAAGTCAAACTTGACGCCAAGTCAAAATGATGGTGGTCTTGTGAGGAGAGAGGCACTCCAACCATCATTTTCTTCAGCATTGTCAGGGGAAGAAAAAAAAAATCATCAGCATCCGGAGCTGATAGAGCTGTGCTTGAGCGACAACGCATTATCTAGTTTCCCGGATGTGGTCTTCCTGTTCCCAGCACTTATATCTTTGTGCCTGAAAGGGTGTGCATGTAGTCAGCTTCCGGAACACCTGACATGCCTGCAACAGCTGGAGCTGGGGGACTTCTCAAAGTGTGGCCTGCTTGTGCTGCCACCTTTTATAGGACAGTTCGTGTACTTGGAGGTGAGAAAGGGCCCCAGGGCATACTCACACTAGGGTTGGGGTTGGTTTGGTTTTGGTTTTGGTTTGGTTTGGTTTGGTTTGGTTTGGTTTGGTTTGGTTTGGTTTGGTTTGGTTCGGTTTGGTTTGGTTTGGTTTGGTTTGGTTTGGTTTGGTTGGTATGGTTTGGAGAGATGGGGTCAGGTTGCCGGTGGCGTGGTGTGATTGAATGTACGCTGCTTCGGTTTGGGTTGGTTTGGGTTTAGGGTTTAGGTTGTTTGTTACAAGTTGGGTTTGGGTGTACTAGGTTGGGTTGGGCAGGATCAGGTTGGGAGGATTGGGTGCATTGGGGTTGGGCTGGATGGGTCGCGGGTTGAGCTGGGTTGGATTGGGTTGTTTTGGGTTTAGGGTTACTGTCAGAGTGGGTTTGGGCTGGGTTCAGGTTGGGCTGGGCTGGGTTGGGTTTAGGGTTCGTTTCGTCTGGTTTTGGTTAGCTTCTGTTTTTCAGTTTCTGTTTTGTTGTTCTGTTCCATCTCCTCTTTCTTCTGTTCCCTTGTCACCATGCTTCTTCTTGTTCGTGTTTGCTGCTACCTTTGTTGTCGTTGTCGTTGTCGTTGTCGTTGTCGTTGTCGTTGTCGTTGTCGTTGTTGTTGTTGTTGTTGTCGTTGTCGTTGTCGTTGTCGTTGCCGTTGTCGTTGTCGTTGTTGTTGTCGTTGTCGTTGTCGATGTCGTTGTCGTCATCGTTGTCGCCATCCTTGTTCTTGTCACCATTATTGTTGACAGCATTGTCATCGTCATTTTTGTCACTGTATTCTTGGTGATGATGGTTGTGGTTGTTATGGTGGTGGTTGTGGTTGTGGTTGTGGTTGTGGTTGGTGGTGGTGGTGGTTGTGGTTGTGGGGTATGGGTTGTTGTTGTAGTGGTGCTGGTTGTGGCTGTTATGGTGGCGGTTGTGGTGGTGGTTGTGGTGGTGGTTGTGGTGGTGGTTGTTGTTGTGGGGTGTGGGTTGTTGTTCTAGTGGTGGTGATTGTTGTTGTTGTTGTGGTGGTGGTTGTTGTTGTTGTTGTGGTGGTGGTGGTGCTGCTGCTGCTGGTGCTGCTAATGCTGCTGGGGTTGTTGTTGTTGCTGTCATCATCACTGTTGTCACTGCTGTAGTTCACATCATCATTGTTGTTGCTGCTGCTGTTGTTGTCATCACCATTGTTGCTGCTGCTGCCGCATATGTTAAACCACAGCAGTCCTGAGGGCACCCAAAGAACACACTTGTACACAAGGGGGCTGCGGCGCAACGTCACCTGGTTGGCCGTCAAGGTACTCTCATCCAGGGAGTGGTGATGCTTTCATCGAGCACTGCGGCCGCCTAACTTTTTGGCTAGCAGACATTTATTAGAAGCTTCCAGCGCTATCTTTCCCTTTTTGTCTGGTTTTGTTGCAGACTTGATAGCAAATGGCTAAGGGCCTTGCTGCAACACTTGCCAAACGCCAACATCTTGAATGTTTCTGGACCCGGCGCGATCCCGATACGTTCAAAATGTTGGGGGCTCCCAAGTGGTGCAGCGAGCCCCTAAGTTACTAGAGTTTCTATGAATGTGTTTCAGTGGCACAAGTTGAAGTAAATGGGGAGGAGACAAAAAAAAACAAAAGAAGCAGAGACTGAAAGCGTTGGTGGCCGTTGATAAAATTGAAAACTAGAGAAAGAAGTCTGAATGGATGCATGGACAGCCAAGTGAGTGAGTTTTATCTATCTATCTATCTATCTATCTATCTATCTATCTATCTATCTATCTATCTATCTATCTATCTATCTATCTAGTTATCAATTGTCAAAATGGCTTGCATGCAATTCTTTGTTTTTGAGGGGGGGGAGAGGAAACATTCTTTGTGCTGGTGGCTGAGGACACTGACATTCTGACATGCAGGAGCTCATTGTTCGAAAGAATAATCTCAGCACGTTGCCTCGCGAGTTGGCCCAGTGCAAGAATCTCAAGGTACTATCTCCTTTTCAATATGATTTTGGACTTTCTATTATTATGATCATTGATTGCATCATTTCACAATTTTCACTGAATATTTGATGTTTATTTCAACTAATATACAAGTTAGTACAACTATGGAGTTGAATTCATTTTCTATATCTTCACCGCCGTCTTCACCCCAATAGAACTCATGGTCCTTATCGCTGCGTCTAGACTGAGAGCTGCCCCGAGTACAGTTATAATGGCCGTGCTTTTTATTCGGGTGACGACGGTAATCCATTCATCTATTGCTCCTAAATTCCTAATTGTATTAACTATTACACGTAACTTTTCGAATTATGGCAACCACAATGGATGCTACTATTGCTATAGTTTTCCTAATTTAGTAATTTAATAATTTGTCATCGTTCTTTTCTGCGTAGATAATAAATAAGTATTGTTACATATAAGTTATAACTATTTGTGACTGTGGAAACCAACCTCAAGCTTAACTATAGTTTGTCTTGTTGGTCATAATTATAGCAAGTTTAGCAACCACAATCAATACTCGAGTTTGTGTAATTCGTCGTTTGTTGATTCTGCACAAATATGTATGATTAGTACTGACCATACTTGCGGCGGACCGGCACTGTGCGCTGCGCAGTGCGCTGTGCGCAGACCCAGGGTGCGCGCGCACCGGCGCGCGCCGCGCATCTGGGTGCGCAGTGCGCGCTGC